CAGAATGATTTATATCCAAAGTGATACAGCAGCACCATACAGGATTTGAATTACACTGTTTGCAATTTCTGTGTTGATAGAAAAACGTTTGATCTTGACTGAATAGAGAACTCACAGTCCAGCTGTTTATGATAATATTATCATTATTTGTCCCTTGGGTTCCTAGTGAAACATAGGGCTTCAGTAGCACGCCACCACTTCACTCTATCCTCTTCTGTCTTCAAACCTCGCTCCACAACTACCTATAACCTTTCACTTTTTCCTCACACAATCTCCTTCATGTCATCCTCGGACTCCCAAATCAGTGTCTCCCATCTCGAGTCCCATTCGACATCCTGTCCTGACACGTGGTGTCCTCAATCCATCTTCGCACTCTATGCCCTATCCAATCCATCTCCAGTTTCTTCTTCTGCATATTTGTTATGCCACAGCTTCTTGCTTGGTTCGTTGCCAGACCAGAGTTCCTCTCAGCTTATTCTTCCTAGACATCTCATATCCAGTATCGAGCGTAGGCGGCAGGTGTTCATGTATGTCTGCAGTCTTTTGGAAGGAAATACTTTTCACAAGGCTTCAAATCTCTCAACCATCACAAAGAAGCAGTGACTTGACTGACTTAGTGTTGAAAATCCTCATCTTGTTATTTATGTTGAGTGCCGTGTAGTACAATGCAGTATATCTTCACATTGATTTCATGTTGGTGAAGGCATGCCTTGCTCTCTTTCTGTTGCCAGCTTTGACATCCTCATCTGTGACTGTGCCGCCTGTAGTTGAGACGATACTGTCTAGGTGGGTAGGTGAAAGAGATAACTTCCTTTACTTTTCTGCTGTTTATGGTGACTGGTGCTTGTTGTTGTTGCTGTTGTTATTGTTGGTTGAGTATCTTCATCATCTGTGTCTCCTTCGTGTTCATGTGAATAGAATCCCGTCTTCTCAGACCTGTCTGTTCTGTCAACTTGTTGGTTTTCACCTATAGATCTTCGAGTTTGTGCGATATTAAACATAAGACTTAAGTCATCATAGACGAAATCCAAATCTTCTACGGTCTTTGCTTCAGTGCAGTCAGCGTATGCCCATCTTCTCGCTCCTCACAATTTCTTGCATAATCCAGTCCAGTCGACCACAATCTAGAAGATCATCAGTGATAGTAGTCAAACTTGTCTTACTCCTCTCTTCACTTTAAGGCATCAGTAAGCTGAGTTTTTCACTGTGAATCCCTCGACATGAAGCATCATCATCATCATATAGACACTGCTGAATTAGGTTGGTAAAAGTTTGTGACACTAAAACTGTAGTGTTGAAGCAGCTGTAAAATTACTACTCGTACGACGCTGTCGAAAGTCTTTTCAAAGTGGTTGAAGTTGAGGTACTTGCCTTCGATTGCTGTGTCATTCAATGCACTGCATAGATTTACTTGTTGGCTGCCGTTCTATACTCTGTTCTATGATGTTGCATAGCGTATCGCTGCAATTCGATCCGCACATGGTTTGTTTTTATTGAAGCCAGTCAGCCTATTCGAGCGGTAATTTTGTAGTCTCCTCAAAATGATGCTGTTTAATATTTCCTTAGTGTGGACAGGTGCATGATTCCACGCCAATCCTTTCAAGGAGTCAGTATCCCTTGTTTGGGAGTTTGACAAGATAGCTCATCCTCCAGTCGGAAGGCACCTTTCCTTCTTTACTTGCAAACCTTCTGCAATAGTGGTGTGAGCATGTACGCTGCTAATGTCTGTGTGTCTGTTTCCAGTGCTTCTAGAGGAATTTCATCTGGTCATGGTGCTTTACCGCTTTCAGCAACTTTATGGCGTGGCATTGGGGACTTCTGCTTTTGTTGGAGTGTTTGTGTTAACTGGTAGTTTTGTGTCTGATCTGCTGGTGGTATTTCTGGATGAGATGTGGGTGGTGGTCGATTCCAGAGTTTTATGAAGTGATCAGCCCTTCGTCTCCCTTGTTTCTCCTTCTTGGTTGTAACTAAGTCTCCTTCACCATCTTTCATTGGTTTCATCTGTGCTATGTTGACCTCTTCTCAGATAGTAACCTGGTTATTTGATATAATGATGTCAGATCTCTCCTACCTGAAGCCTGTTCTGCTCAAATTGCAAGTGTGTTGTAGAAGTGTCTTTTGTCTTTCCGTGCACTCTTCTTCACTCTTTGTCCAGTATAGTGTTTTATAGGTTGTGCTCAGTTCCTCTTTTTGTTTTTCATCCCTGCACTGAATTCATTCATCCTCTGCTTGACCATCTTCCTCTCCTCTATTAACTTCCATGTGTCCATTGAGATCCGTTCCTTCTATTGACCTTGTCTTCTTCCTTCCTAGCACAGTTATCCAGGTTTCCTTCTGCGTCTCTGTCAAAGAGTTCCAGTGTTCTTCCACGTAGGTTTCCTCGGGTAAGTTGTCTAAAGTCACCTATTTTCTCATGATAGCTGACGTCTACTCGGTCAAGATTTAAAATGTTTTCATGTGGACAAGAATCGAAAATTAGAACATTTCCATCGCTTTTGGATGGTGAGACTACCATTAAATTACCAGTTGGGACTTAGTGAATGAAGTTGTTTAAATCTAAAGCATACCGTGAATCGACCTATGACGTTGAATGAAATCAGTCCTTGATAAAATCTAAAAGCGTAACGATATAACCATAATACTCTAAACGACACTGTTATTACTTATTCATGTTCCATTAACGTCTGGTCATTTCCTAACTTGGACTACCTTTCGACATTATGATCAATCTATTATCTAAAAGCCTGCAGTTTATTTGCATCCCAGGTGGATGATTTTAGTTGGCTTGCTCACTATGAGCTAGGTAGTTAGTTCATGAAACACTCATTGTCTTCTTAGACAATATTATCACACCACACTTCAGGAGGAAGTGAACTATAAGAACTTTTCAATCAGCAATTCTATAACTTACCATGATGAAGTCATTTTCAAGTGGTACTTTCCTTCGATTGCTGTGTCATTGAATGCATAACATAGATTTACTTGTTAACTGCTTCTTGACCTCACCTCTGACCTTCTAGTTGTCTGTCATCTTTCCTATTGCTTGAGAGATTGTATCCATGCTCACGCATCTACTGATAACCTCCAGGAATTCTCTGGTATACTTTATCTACCTTCTCTTCAAGATCTCCACATTTCCAATCTTCAACTCATGTCAATTGTTGTACATGCATTGATATGAGCAACAAATATGATAAGGTCTACTAGCCAACTGATGTTCATGTAAGTGATGGCGAATAGGACGACCACTTTACCCGATGTAGTGTAAATCATAATTGCTGTTGTTGACTTTGCGAATGATATTTGACTTGTCTTCTTTGGTTGTTGGATCACTCGATCTGTATTACAAAGTTTGGAGGGAGTTTGATGATTTTCCAGCCACATGAATTCCACGTGGTGTCAGAAATCTTTTCGTGATATCTGATATGCTCTGTTTGTGTGGTGGGATGGGATGATTCGTGCTCTGAATCCCTGGATGACTCTGCAGTTGATGGTGATGATGAATAGAATAGGTAACTTCTGATGAGGGTTCGTGGATCAGTGTTCTTGTTTAGGACTGGAATCAAGTAAGTTCCTTCGTTTCTCTGTGTAGCTGCTGTACTGCAGTGTGTTCTTACGCTTCTGAAAAAGGTCTGCACAGAGGTGATTTTGTATGTTTGGGGTTGTTTTTGGTGTTGCTGAGTATTTGTTGAGTGTGTGTTGGCTTCTTGCAGACGTGTGTCTTCAATTCTTTGGCGTTTATATTATTGACTAAAACATGTAGGAATGGCGTTTTGTTGCTTGACGTCTTGTTCATAGTGAATTTTAATTTCGTTGATCGTTTTATGATTTCCGAAGGCCTTGTATTTTAAGTTATGAGGTGAGACCTACTATCCTTAGTTAATTGTGGTTTGTTTGATCTGTATGGCGTCATTACTTCAAAGGATGCCAACAATTCATCGTTTCCTCAGTTAGTGTCTTTGTTCCTTCAAGGGGGTTTTGTCGATAATGTGACGGAATTTTCGCATGATTTCACGAAGTATTTTAGTTTGCCTGAAATCTCTTTTGATGAATTGAAAGTTACAGTCCCCGAAATTTAAACTGTTGGTCTTGGAGGAGCATCTGCTTTGTATATCTTCGTTTGTTTTTGCTGAAAAGTCAAGGAAGTACTAGTCCATTCATTTTTATACATCTTTTTTTGTTATTTTTCCTACTTTGAGTAGTTTGTCCAATAATTTGGTGATCTGGTAGTTAAAATTTTGAGTAGGGTTACATTTAAGTCGCTGATGCACATTCTCGGCATTCTCCTACTTAACTAAGACCAACAATTAAAGGTTTCATGGAGTAATGCCAGCTCTTACTTTTTTCAGTCCTGGGTCTACTTTAACTAACGTTGCGCGATGGGACAGATAGTAACTAGACATGTGCAACGTATATCCTCGCCATCACAATCAGGTATAGTTTAGCAATCTCACTAACTGGTTTTTATCTTTTGAGCAAAACTGTACGCTCGACTCCTACCTCATTGACGTGATAACATCGTGACATGGCCTTATCCTTAAAAGCAATGGTGGTCAAGGATCTTAGCGTCATCACCTCAGCCACTAATGATGATGTTTCCTAGTCACATGGTAGGACACAGTGAGTTGCAGAGCAGTACACTCAGCCGTTAATAAGCAGCTTGGATTGTGAAAGTGAAGCTAAGGAAAAATTTGTCGAACCGGTAAGAAGAACGTCGGATAAAGCAGTTACATAACTAGGGAACAGTTACATAGTGCACTTTGATTAGTTTGACGTGATTATTTGAAAACTTTTCATAAATTTATCCTATTGAAGTAATTAAAACGGAAAATTACCTACAGTTAAGCTCATTGAAAACTTAATACGTTTTAATGTCAAACAATGAACCTTGAAATAAATCTCCTCAGTTATTATTAAAGACAAAATCTCTTTTCGAGAAAATAATAGTTATAATCCCGTAGAACAAGACTTTTAATGCTCAATTCATTCACACATTTTACCTTATTTAATTTTAGTGTATTACTGGAACGTTTTTGATTCAGTTTAACAAGATTCGTCATGTCTTCATTTGAACTGATACTACCACCTTCTTCGTCAATAAAATTTGTCTGATCTTCCAAATCTATAAACGGAAGAGAAAAATAAACCAAAAAACAGTTCAGAAGAAATAGTTTATTACAACGATTGACAGTTTGTTGTCAAAAACATTTTCAAAGGCTATATTCCATGATGCCAACTTCAAATGAATATTCTCAGGTTTAGCTGAAATGTGAAAAATATTACCCATCAGCAAAGATGATTTCAATTGTCGTAAGCTGTTGTGAATAATATTGCTAAACTTTATTCATCACCTATAAGTTTTCAGAAAAAAAGAATATCTTAATGATGGATCGTGGCAAGCAGTGGAATCCAGGACGCACATTTCGTCTTATTTGAAACTCGTCAGCTGGATGTACCTGCTTCCCAGTGCGGAATGATGTTGTTCCCATCGCGATTCGGACTCCGGAGCTATCGCTTCAAACACCAGCGCGTAATCCACTACACAGCTGAGCCACGATAGCCACTTCTTGTGCGATCGGTATAGTTTTTAGTATAATTGTTTTCATATGATACCGTCGTCAACATAATTAGAACACTGGTAATATCGAGGCATCTACAAAGGAGCCAATATGCCAATAGACACCGATCAATTCGGTCCAATCAACGACGGTATCATATAAAAACAATTATACTAAAGTACTAACTTCAGTATAAAATAAGCTATCAGCTTTTCTCCTTGAGTGCAGTTTATGACACAGTTATCAAAAGAAAAAAACCATTAATCATGCACAACTTAGGACAAACTACTGAATCACTATTCACAGTGAAATACTAATAACTCAGTTCGAATTAAAGTTATCAATAATGATATTGTCTATAGGAAGACAATTAAAGATTCATGATCAAGCTGATGAGGATGAGAATCCCAGTGGGGAAAACTATCATAGAATGCAATACTGGCTAAGTTGATGAGGTCCAAATATGACGAAATGAACACCTTGAATAATAAGCAACATTGCTTCCCCTAAATGTTCTTCTTACAGAAATACTATTTCGCTGAATACAAGAAACCATAATAGTATAGTTAATAAATAATGGAATCAATAAATCAAGGAAAATCAGAGTGATTTTAAAGGCCACCCTAGCTACTGGTGAAATAAGCAATCACATTTCTCTACTCTATGAAAAATTATCTTTCCAGCCAGCAGAAAACAGTAACCTGATTGGTTATTTTAGTAGTTGTTAGGGTAGCCATTAAAGTCACCCGAAAATTGATTTAAATTATTTACCTTCATAGGGCATGTCATACACCGGAATATTTCTGTCAAACAAGAACCTAGTCTAATAACTGAAGGAAAAAGAAGTTCTTCTATACATGTTATATGAGTTGGAAAACATTTCACAGTGTATTGTTACTAAATGACTGTTTAGTTGGTTTATATTCCGGCATGAGAAGCTAATCAATCACTTACATGACTAAAACTTCTCGTTTACTCCCTTGAATACACAAATGAGTAAGCCCCACGACTGGTCTCTTCAATTAAGTTCAGTCAAAGACGGATACTTAATACTTTATTTGTTCTTGCTCTACGTTGACTATATATACTAATAAATTATATGCTCATCTAGCACCATAATTTTAAAGCCTTAAATATCACGTATTGTACCTCTAACATGAAATTTCTGAAACATAAATCGTACGCAAATCAGTAGAGAATCAATGCGAAGTTTTTCAGTCAAGCTAAACAGTAATACTATTAACATGTTGAAGACACACAACATCTACTATAAGAAGAAAGTTGAAGTTATTGGTATTCAACTTTTCTATAGTAATACTGTTTCGCATGATTCAAGAACTTTGCACTGATTCCCTACTAATCTCCATATGATTCATCATTCAAAAATTACCTATAAGAGGTGAAAAATCAGATATTTCCTTTTCAGCACTGCTTCATCGAACAATAGAGAGTGAAGTGGTTGAGTGTGTTCACCACTTCACTTCTACGATAAGTGGGATCAGCCCTAGTGGCTAAGTGCCCGATGAAATCTCTGCACTCATACTAAAGGGTTGACTGGCTTTTCACAAACTATACCACCTGTGGCGCCTCCATCATATCCAATTATCTACTAAGGCTCGAGTGCGCTACACATCAGTCCGCTCTGACTGGCAGCGAACTAAGCAAGAAGCTATCGCTCAACAAATATGCAGAAGAACGAAATGGAGATGGATTGGGTATACACTGAAAAGGTGGTTTGTAGAGATCACGCCCTAGGCTAGGCCGTCGAGTGGAACACGAAATGGGAAGCGACAAGTTGGGCGTTTGAGGATGACAAGGAGGAGATGCTGCAAGTAGGAAATGAAAGCTGGTTAGCAAAAGTGGAGCCATGTTGAGAAGACTGGAGAGAAGAGAGTGAAATGGCACCGTGCTGGTGAAGCCGTATGTTCCACTAGGAACCCAAGGGACAAATAAGTAAAATAATGTATCTCCATATTTTGAGATTAAATTCATTTTCAATCAAATTATGTAATCGTACTTTTGTCTTCGCCTACGTGCTCAGTGTTCCATAAAACGTAAGAAACAGTTTTGAGATTGATGTGTTCTCTGAAATGACAGTTAAGTTAGCAAACGTTTCAGTTTCATACTAGACATTTTTTATCAGCACATCACTACTTACTTTATAAGGAATCTCACTAAGGAACTCCTTAGGAGTCCATAAAAATTCAACGTACATGTTCATCATTGCAGCTGTCAAGTTCAAAGTGCCTAAAACTGACCAAAATCTGCCTGTCGGCTGAACGTGCTATGTGTTCATCAATCTAAGTGGCATATATTTACAGTGTGCTATGTTCTACTCACATTCGCTTTATTGTGGATGCAAATACTCTATACTGATAATTATTGGCAAACAAGAAGACTAAGCCAAATACAGTTTCTTGCCAAATATCTCTTAATATTTGACATCAAATGCCTTCAACCTTTTAACAATAAGCCTCCACAAAGAAGACAATTTTATGTAATTCGCTCAAAGGGACTTTCACCACTGCTAGAGTTAATGATGTTCTTACTCTATCGAACTCACTTATGTAATCCATAAATTTATTATAGATACTGACACTCAGACCAACTATGTGTATGATAGTGTCATATTATTTGCAAATGAATTAACCTAGATTTCATAGGAGTCTACATAAATCGATTAACCTATGACGTCAGATTTTCCTTCAGAGTATTTTGGTTAAATTTCAACTGATATTACTTTTTAGCATAACTGTTTCTATATGATACCTTCGTTGATTATACCGAATCGGCTGGAAGCAGGTACATCCAGCTGACGAGCCTCAAATAGGACGAAATGCGCATCATGAATTCCACTGCTGGTCACGATCCATCATGAACATGATAAGAACGCTGGTAATGTCGAGGCATCCGTACAAGAGCCCATATGCCAATAGATATCGATCACTTTGGAGTTCCTCTCAGCTTATTCTTCCTAGGCGTCTGATCTCATCTTCAGTATGGAGTGAGCGTAGTCGACAGCTGTTTATGTATGTCTATAGTTTGTTGGAAGGAAATGCTTTTCATAAGGCGTCGAGTCTCTCAACCATCACATAGAAGCAGTGACTTGACTGACTTAGTGTTGAAAATCCGTATCTTGTTATTTATGTTTAGTGCTGTGCCGTGAGGTGCCGTGCAGTGGAGTGCAGTGAAGTAGATCTCCACATTGATTGCAGATTATTGAAGGCCCGTGTTTCTGTCTTCGACATCCTCTGCTGGTCCACCAGCAATGCCCGAAGTTATAACTATACTATCTAGGTACGCTCACACTGTCTCTTAGATTTCTCTGGGCAGAATACTTACCCACTGCTGGTAATTGCCTGTGGTCCGTGTCGCCCTCTCAACATACACTACTTAGATTCATTCTGATTAGCAGTGCCCATCACATTAGTATAATTTATGGTAACAGAATGCAGGGTATGTTTCGGCCTCATTATTTGAGATACACATACCTTCCAAGAAGTGAAATTATTGTCATTAAGACTCGAACCATGTCCCTCTTCTCTTCAAATGCTTGAGCATTTTATCATTAATTTTGAAGTAAAATATCCAGTAATATTTCATTAATCTTCATTCGTTCTCGTATGTAAATGTTAGACGATCGATGCGATATGAACCAATAAAAAAGTAGAGATGAAGAGCTATGAGGCCAATAAAAAATGTTGTTATGACAAGCAACCAGACATGGTATCATATGAGGTTCTATGACGATTTTGATGACTATCAATGTAGAATTGATTCATTTTATGAACTGTATGCAGTTCAACAATAATCATCATCAGAATTTTTAAACACGGACTTAACCCAGCATAAATGAACAATAAATGTTCAGAATGATATTGTCAGCCAAATAAGAATTAAACGGAACGGTTAGTTGCATTTCCTTCCACCTTGTAAATAATCAAATATATTGATCACTATTTCTTCCTAGCATAAGACTCATTGGCTGTATGTACTCAAGAACTCACCAGAGAATGAAACCTAAACCATCAGGCTCCACGGCAGGGTCACGGGTGAGCACTACTCAAGTATCTCATACTAGGATGAATCAACTATCCAGTCCCCCGCGGTCCTTAACGCTTCTCCAATTGATATCACTCCATATTGAATTATTATTATAGTATATTATTATTTGTCCCTTGGGCTTCAGTGGCAAGTTTTTATTGCACTCTGTTCTCTGCTAACTTTTGAACCTGGCTCCAGGACAGCCTAGAAGCTCTCATTTCTTCCTCACAAGACCTCCTCCATGTCACTCTCAGACACCCAACTCGTCGATTCCCATATGGGTCCCACTCGAGTGCCTGATCTGGCGCATGATGTCCATGAATAGTCTTCTCAGTGCAATTCAGAGAGTCTACTTCCATTCCATCTGCTTTCGCGAATTCCTAACACTTCTATGCGATACCTTCTCATCTCGTTTGCAATCTGGGCAGCCTTGCTAGGTTCAAACATGGTGTGGACATTCCATGTCCCCACGTTTACTTTCGTTTCCATAGAGAGAAGACATATTAGCCAATTAGCTTCC